AGTTAGTATTGTTGTTGCCAAAAGCTATCAAAGATGGTTTAATCAACAGATTTGTGTGTAGTTTAATTTGAAAAGTGTAATTAAATATGTTGTTTGATTTTGATAATAAGCTAGTTAGAAAGTTTGATATTAATAAAGTGTATAAGAGATTGGTATCAGTTGAGTATATTATTAATAGCTTGGATAGGTTTTAAAACAAGTGTTTTATATCTTCTTTCGAAAGTCTAATTAATTTGTTGACAAAGACAAAGAGAGTATTTGAGGTGATAGGTATAGTAGATTTGTTTCCAGATAGTATATACATACAATAACTATAATTGAATACTATGAGTATCAAGTGACTAAAGTGACTAAAGGTTGTATTTTGAATAAATATTGATGATAAGGATTTGTGAATTAATGTATGTGAGGTAAAGGTTGGGGTAATGGTTCTTGTTGTTGTTATTAAGAGTCTTAATAAGGTGACTAAGTTTTTTAAGCCCAAGGTAAAGTGCAGTATATAAAAAAGTATATTTATAGTTGTAGCTATATTTTTGTATAATTTTGTTAGAGATAGTTCTAATTGCAGCTTGCATTATATAGTGTTAAAGCTTGTGCTAAGTGATGTCAATACTTTTAAAGATATTTAATATAAGTAGAATATAGCTTTGTGTGATTAATTGTAAGATAAGCTTAGAGAATTTTTGTTATTGCTAGCTAGTGATGACCTTATAATTAAATATTTGATGACTAATATTGATATAAAGATGTGAAGGTTTGCTAAATGTATTAGAAAATGTTCAGAAATTAAAAAGTATAAAGTTGTTACTAAGAGTGCTTGTTTTGTTATTGTCAAAATTATAGGAGAAAAAGAATTGTATATTAAAAGAGTTGGTCTAGATGTAGTCAATTCTATTAGAGTTTGTATTATTTAACCAGATATATTAAGTGTTATTAAAATAGGCACCAATATCAAACATATTTGAGTGATATAAAAAATTAATAAGTTTAAATCTAGATAATAAACTAAAAGTAGTATCCTGTATATTAAAGTTACTAAGGATAATAGATTGAAGATTGAGTTGCTAGGCTTGAAGTATCTAGTTAATAATAGTGTTTTGTATAAGATTGTGGCAAGTAGAATTAGTTGAGAGATAAACAGAAATTATACAAAGTTTGATATTGCTTTTGAAAAAGAGATCTAGTATGATTGCTCTACCAGAGTATATAAAGCAGCTATAGACATGGGGCTTAAGATAGTTGCAAACCATGATAGCTGCTTCTTTTATAAAGCTATAAGTTGGTCTAGTAGTAAGTATAGAGATTGTTATTGCAAAAAGATAGTTTGGTTTTGTTAGAGATTTTAGTCTTAGTGATGCAAGCTATAGAAATATAGGGGTGAGTCAATAAAAATCAAGCAAATTTTTTATAATAAAATTTTTTTTATAACTTTAAACAAGAATAACTTGATGAAAACTTGACCAAATTTAATAAAAATTTTTTTAAATAATTTTTACAAACTTGTAAAATTATTTTAAAAAAAAATTTATTGAATTTGATCAAGTTTTTGTTAAATTATTCTTGTTTAAAATTTTAAAAAAACTAATTAAAAAATATTTGCTAGGTTTCTATTGACTTAACTCCATATTATAATTGGTGCAGTAGTTTTGCCAAATCTGTTTTTAGAAGCAACATTAAAGCCTCTAACATTGTAAGTAGCAATAGTAAAGTATAGATTATACAAGTTAAAATATTTATATTAGAAGTTATAGATATATGATTTGAGTAGAACATATCTAAACTATCATAAGAGATTCTAAAAAAGAGATATAAAGTGGTTTGTAAGTATTTAATGTTTATAAGGAAGATAAATATACTGTATATCTTTGTATAATTATTTTCCTTATCTTTAATATTGAGTATGGAAATTCTAATATATAAAGATAAATTGTATAAAAGAAAGTTATATTGAATATAGTTAAAGAATAATTAGATTTTTTGGGGATATTTAAGTAAAGGTAATGTGATAAAATAAAAAATTTGTTGTAGCATGTTAGTAAATTAATAGGGCCAAGTTGTTTAGTTATTTGTATTATTGTTTCAAGTTAAAAGTCATCAGAATCACAATTTGAATTGGATAAGGATTCATGATCAGAGTAAGTAGAAAAAATAAGTTGTTAAAAGGATAGTGTAATGTGTGAATTATAGAGGGCTAATAGTATTGGAAATAATACTACAAAAGAGTTGTCTTCTATAGCATTTACTATATATTTGGCTTATATAGTTTTACAAGAGCTAGCAACAGTTAAGTTATATATTAGAAAGTTGTTTAAATCTAATTTTTCTAGATTATAAAAATAAAAGTTTAGATTGTTTATAAGCTAAAAACAAATAAATTAAAAAAAAATTTTTAATTAATAATCCACTAGTCAACCAGAGAATCATGTAACTCAAATTACTTATAAAAATTGGGGTTTTCAAATATGAAGTGCATGTATCTAAAACTTTTTTTACACTAAGTTAATCATCCTTCTGGCTTAAGAGACTTTTGTAAAGCTTATCAAGACGCATCTAATGGTGGGTAAAGCATTAAAATTGGCCTGGTGAATACTAAGATATCTTTAAAAAAACCTTTCTTTTACTAAGTAAATTTCTTTGCAAACAATAGTATTGTTTGCAAAGAAATTTACTTAGTAAAAAAAAGGTTTTTTAAAGATATCTCGGCATTTACCAGGCCAATTTTAATGCTCTACCCACCATTAGATGCGTCTTGATAAGCTTTACAAAAGTCTCTTAAGCCAGAAGGATGATTAACTTAGTGTAAAAAAAAGTTTTAGATATACGCACTTCATATTCAGAAAATTTTTATACTATGATGATTCTTTAGTTGACTAGTAAATTACTAATTAACTAAAAAAATTATTTACAAATTCTTGACAAACTCTTTAAATATTAGTTTTAAACTTATAGCTTTTAATACAATATTATAGTTTATATAAAGAATAACAATTTTTATTTTTATTTTTATTTTTTTTTTTAAGAAAGGTTTTTTCCTCATATCCTTTATTATAGTTATGCCAAATAATTACATATGTTTTACATGATGATTTAATCTAAACTATTTATAGATAGGGGATAAAGCTACTTTACTTTAGATCTAATCTTAGCTAGATGGGTCAAGGACCTCTAGACTATGTTATTAATATCGATTGGGTTATTGTTCACTAATATATACTGTTAGATCTATCTGAATATATTTGTGTATTGCTGGTTATTTGTAAGAGTTTTTGGGTAGGGTATGTTGGTTTGTAGTAGTGTGTTGGCTATTTGGTTAGTTATCATTCTGCTCGGTTTCCAAATTTCTTTGTGAATTTTCTTTGTTAATTCATGGTGTAATTTTGCAGTCACATTGTGTTTCTGTAATAAAAGTGTTGTTTTTGTTGTCACTAGACCGATAGGTAGTGCTTGGTTTATATGTACTTGAATAAAGTTATTGATAAAAGTGTTAGTATTTTTAGTTGTGATTTTAAAATATTGGTTTACATTATTTAATAATTCTTTAAGTAAGTTTTGAATTGTTGTTGTATTCGCGGGACAAGTCATCTAATGTTGGTTATGTTCTTGGTAATAGTTACACCTTAGGCATGCTGGTGATTAGTTCAGTGATGAATTACGCTTGTAGAGTATTTGGCAGTTTGGAAGTTCATTTGTAATAAGTTTGATTTTGAAGTTTTTGATATTAGAAAGTGCTGTATTGGTATATCTTGTATTTGGTTTATTATCTCAATTAAGTGCTGTAAAAGTTAATTGCCAGTTGATTGAGTTTTGTTCTGTGTTTCATTGATTTATTCTATTTTGTTGAGTCCAATTGTTGATGTTAGTTGCTTTGAAGATATTAAAAACAAGTAGTTTGAGTAGAATATGAATTGGGTATTTATAGATTGTTGGTAGGTAATATTTATATAGGAAGAGTTTTGGGTCGAATTCAGTTGTAAGGATTGTTTTATCATCTTGTTTTTTAATTTCAGTGCCCAAATGTGTTGTTAGTTGTATATTCTTGTACTATATAAGTTTATAAATGACTAATTGAAAAGGTAGGTATATATTTTGATTTGGTTTTTGTAATTTAAAGCTATTCTAATTGTTTATTTCTTCAACTATTTTGATTATGCTAGAAGAATTGGTATATATTGAGATTTTGTCATTGAAATTTGCAGTAGTAGCAATTATTATTAATGCTGTGATTGCTATTTTTTTTAGTTTTTGCCAGTATTGATTGCGTATATGTAATGATTTGTTATTTATTTTGATTGATGATATGGGAATTGTTTGATCATTTTTGATTGTTGATATTAGTATATCGACTTTCAAGACTTTTGTTAAGTCTTAAACTATTGACCATATGTTATTGTTTATATTTGTAAACTTCTGATGATAGTTTGTAATGTTGGGGTATATATATAATGGATTGGTATAGAGTTTGCTGTTGTATTCCAGGTAGTATAAATTGGTTCCATTTACTATGCTAAAACTTTTTCTGGTTTACTTTAATCCTAAATATTGTCTCTAGAGGCATTTTAATTCTACAAAATTTGTGTTTCGTTTGTGAATATTTGCAACCTGTATATTTAGTTAGTTTGTTGTTATTGATATCTAAATTCTAGTATTGAAGTATAGATCAATTTGTGTTTCGTGATAACCCATTTGTGCTTGTAATCTTTTGAGATTGGTTACCATAAATAAGGATTCATTTTTGATAATATTGTTGTTATTGATATTTGTTCTTCAATTGAGTTTTAAATATTGCAGAACCATTTGGGGGTTCTGTCTCTCAGAATTTTATGTATGTTGTAGTGAAATTGTGTTCAGAAGATAAACTCTGTACAATTATAATTGAGGAATTGTTCTATTGCAACTATTTGATATTTGTTGGTAAATTTTTTAATTTTGGTTCCGTCTTTAATATTTTGAAGTATATTATTAATTGATGTTCCTATAAAGTTCATCAGTTGTAGCTATTCCTAAGGTGGGCTGTGGAAAGCTATATTGAAGTTGTGGGCTGTCTCAATAATTTGACTTGTAAAGGTAATATATTGTATAGGGATAAAAACTGCTTTTTGAGCTAATATTGAAGTATTAGTAAGGGCATTGTTCTGTAATTGTTGTAATCTGATTTTGAAAGTAGGGTGAAGAGAATCTAATTAGTTAGAGAGTGATAACAAATCTGTATTTGTATTATGTTTTTTAAATTGTAGGTTAGTGGATTGAAAATTGTTAAATTGAGGACTCCTCTTGCTAGTGATGCTTTTTGCTTGACAATTTGAATGTAGTTTGCCTTTAACTTTTTGCATGATGATGGTGATAGCACTATATTTTGCAACTAGTATTTGAGTTGAGCTAAAAGTACAACATTGATAATATATATTGCCTGCTTTTCAGTAATATGAGAATATTTTAATTTACTTAGTTGCTAATTAAAGGATTTTAGCAGTTGTTTTGTTACTACTGAGTTTTGTTTAGTGTAATCAATATATGTGTCTAGAAAGCATAGAGTCTTATTGTGTAGAAGGTTGTATATATGGTGGTTTTGAAATATAATGGGTTGTTGTTCTTGGTATTGTTGTATAGAAGGATTAATTTGTTTGGGTTTACTGTGATATTTGCAAAACAGTAAAATGAGTATGTGATTTTTAATATGTTCTAGTTGTTTTCTGTTAGATACAATTTATGTTGTATCATCCATGTAAGCTATGACTGAGGTATTGAAGGATGTAGTGTTGTGAGTTTGTAGGTAGGTAGAGGATATTTGATAACCTTGATATTCTGATATGATTTGAGTTATTAAAGGGTCATAGTATATTCTCTAAAGGATTAGTGATATGGTTTCTCTCTGATCCAATCCGTCGTAGACCGAGTAAGGTAGTGTCCTTCCTAGTTGGGTTAGTACTTGATTGTTGCAATCTGAAAGAATATTTGTTAGTAATTTTATGATTGTATCTAGTAGGTGTATTCTTTGTAGTGCTTTAATAAGGAGTGGAATGTGAACTATATCATAGGCTTTTGAGGTGTCTTGAGCTAGTATCCATAATTCTTTATTATTTGTTATCGCATCTTCTCTTATATGTGTAAGTTGGTTGATACGTTGTGCCGTGGAGGTTAGTGGGAGTACAACATTATTACTATGAGAGAGTATGTTTAGTTTGATTAGGATTGTGTTAAGTCTATTGGTGATGATTTTTGTTAGTATTTTTTTTATATGTTCAATTAATGTAATAGATCTTGTTCTAACAAGGTTTCTTTTGGTGTGGCTGCTTTTTGTTATTGGCCAAACTAGCCTTTTTTTCCATACTGATGGGATAATTTGTAATTCTAGACTCTTGTTAAATATATTAAGTATGTTTAATAGCACAGCTGAGGATAGATGTTTAAGTATTTCGTTAAATATTAGGAATGGGCTAGTGGCTTTGTTAGTTGGGGCTTTTGTTATAGTATCTGTTAATTCCTGAATTGTGATAGATAAGATTAGCTAGGAGTAATCATGTTAATTAATCATTGGAATTGGTGCATAATATTGTTCCTAGTTGGGCTATAAGTTCTAGTTTGTGGGATTGTAGTTGGTCCAGGTTTCAAAATGTTTTGATGTAGCTTCTTTTATCCCTTTAGGTTCTGTGATTACGGTAGAAGATGTTATGATATTAATTAATTGGACATATTAACTTTGTCTTTTGAGAATGCTATCTATTATTTTAGTTATTTTTTAATTTATTTTGAATTATTGCGAACTATTTTAAAATATACCAATTTTCTGTCATCTACTTTATAATTTTTCTATTGTTTATTTTCGTTAATTATTTCAATTTTATTTAAATAAAATCACAACCATGTGCAAATGTTTAGTGTTTTTGTGATTTAGATTAACAATTTATTTGCAAAATAGGTTAAGATTTTGCTTTTATTAGATATATATAAACTTTTTATATTCAATTACATTAAAACTATATATGTTTTTTTTATTTATTAATCTCAAGAAATGCTTCTATATTACAATAGATAATGCACAATGTTCAGTAAATTTCTATATATATTTATAAATTGTTTTCAAGTAGATTAATTTATTCAAGATCTTTTACATATCTAAATATAGTAATTAGTTTAAATAGAGATATTATTTTGGTTAATTTGCATTGTTTTAACTATTTCTAAATTATTTCACAAGTGTTCAGTTTTAATTAAATTAATTTAATATGTTGAAAGCATTTAGAAAACCAATATACGAATATATTTAATATATTAACTTTGATAAATTTAAATAATATTAAAATATTTCAAATTTATTTAAATTTATTCAAAAGATATTTTTAATAAATTTCTTCTATACTTTTTGATTTATTTTGAATTATCATGAACTTTTTCAAAATATACTAATTTTCTGTCATCTACTTCATAATTTTTCTATCTTTATTTTCATTAATTATTTCAATTTTATTCAAATAAAATCACAACCATGCGTAAATATTTAGTGTTTTTGTAGTTTAGATTAATGATTTATTTGCAAAATATGTAAAGATTTTGCTTTTATTAGATATATAAACTCCTTACATTCAATTACATTAAAACTATATATGTTTTTTTTATTTATTAATTTGATTATATAAAATCTAGAAAAGCTTCTCTATAACAATAAATAATATACAATATTCTGGTAAATTTCTATATATATATATATATATTTTTATTTTTTATTTTTTTATTAATATAATGCCATAGTAGAAACTTTATTACAAAAAATCTAAATTAATCTAAAGACTAATAGTCTTCT